TACATATCCTATTCAGTACCAAAGATTTGTTTGTTAATTACCTGATTTTAATTAGCTGCACCTAATTACGTAGGGGTTGATGTATACTGCATCTCTGTTAATGAGAATTTGTTTTTTTTTTATTTTGAAGGATGAGGCAGACAAGGCAACTTGTGTGCCAGAACTAGATAATTGAGAATAGTTTTAATCGGAGACTGAGTGGACAGGGTTAATTGACGTGAAGGTTTTTTTTTCTAGCTGGGTCCTAACTTCATTTTTACGCTACGTTTTATCAAAGCCTGTCACTATTATCTTGCACATTTATTATGGGTTTGGTGTATTTATCAGACGGGGTACATTGGGCGTGGAGAACATGCTGCGTCCTGGCCTTAAAAGTCTGAAATGTTGAAAGTAAATACTGGAACTCATATTAAAATTTGCCATCGAAATAGCAATAGAATGGCAATAGGTTTGCAATGTTGCAATGTATGTGGTTAAGTCGTTCTTAGGGAAAGATTGCGTAGCTTCAGACCAGGTATGTCTGTATACTGATGCTTATCCAGTTTTTAGCACCCGATTGAAGCCATAAACCAGCGGTGACTGTTGCTAGATGTCTTAAATGATAAAAAATAAAAAGCAAAGTGTGAGAAAAAGTTATGTAACATAGTTTTGAAGAAAAAAAGAAATTCTTGTATGTTTTCTCTCTCTTGATAGAATTAAAGTATATCATGTAAACAAATCTGATGTGTATTTTGCTAAGAGCCAACCTTACGACTTTTCATGTCTTTAAGTAGTGTCTATAATGTTAATATTGATATCACGTGGGCTGATATCTTTGCCAAGAACCGTCCTGTGTATTACGATAAACTACATCCGCGTCCTGAGTAAGACAATAAACTACGTCCAACAGCAAAGACTCTGACCAGGAGGTTTTGAGGATGTGGAATCATCTCTTAATTGTTGGTGTACCCAGGTCTACCCTTACCCGGGGTGGTAGCACCTGTTAGGGTCCCAGCAATGGGCAAAGAGTTAACCCCCAAACTGTTGTCAAAACACTATGAAGGTGTAAAAATAGGTTTTAATTCCAGAAATAAATTGTAAAAAAATTACTCATATTTCTGAGTTTTTTTCAACAATGACCCTAACAGGTTCTACCACCTCGGTTTAGGGTGGACCTTGGAACATCAGCAATTAAGAGGTGGTCCCACGCTCCTCAAAACCTCCTGATCAGAGGCCTTGCTGTTGGACGTAGTTTATCGTCTTACTCAGGACTGTCGAAAATGAGTTAATAAATTTGACAAAATCTAAGTTTTGGAGTTATCGACAGTAAAATTTCGGATTGATACCGCAGTTGTTTGCATACATTTGCTGCGGATCGGCTATGAATAGAATATTCAATTGTCTTGATTATTGCGCAGTAATTGAGACAAGTAAGATCAGTTTAAAAAAGTCCGTTAACTACTTTCTTAGCGGCAAATGTATGTAAACAACGCCAATAATTGCTGCCGCCAACGACGCGAATGAATCCGAAATTTTATACTGTCGATAACTCCAAAACGATAGATTTTATCAAATTTACCAAGTCATTTTCGAATGAAGCAAGTATATTTACACCTAAATGTAAGTATTCGGGGAAATTTTTAATGATAATTGAGAGCGGGTCCTAATCTGCTCTTGAATACTCTTGTCTACAAAATAGAAGTGTCGTTGCAAATAATCCCATCAGTAGGAATTTTTCAATTTATAAAAAAAAGCAGTTATTTTATATTTCTACAACAAAGATCGTACTACGAAGAACATTATCTAATAATCACAGTGCTGGCGTTGGGTGCAGATGCAATTGAAAGGAATAAGTAATCGAGACGGCACATATATTTACTACACAACAATAAATTTCCAAACTATAAACTCTTGTTTTTTTTCCCTAAATAATCGGAGTAGACGACGTAAGATGAATTCTATTTCGATAAATATAAACTTTATGCTTAAGGTGAACATGTTTTTTAATCTTTTGTCCTAAATGGAGATATGATAAAGCTTATTTCTGTAGCAATCATTTGAAGCGAAAAATGTTCTTTTATTGAATATTATATGTAAGAGAATAAACAGGTAGGAATGGTTAATAATTTTCGTCTATTGCGCCTTCTTGGGCTCAGGTTTTTCACTGACATGAAGTGGAATGATTATATTAAATCAATAGATAGGTTTCCTGCGAAGACATTTGTTTCGCAGTATCCTATCAGGCAACTCTCACCAGAATATATTTATTGGGTTGGTGCATAATTATCAGGTGTTTTTAAACAATATTTATTATGAAAAAAAAATACCAGTTCAAGAATAACATTTTTAAATGATTATTACGGAACCCATGTTTATCGACGAAAATGTTTATAACTTGAAAAGAAAATAATATTTTTTATTAAAAAAAAGTAAACAAAACAACAATTAACAAATAACTCGCCTACAAAAACGCCTGATAATTATGCACTTTCCTCAACACATAGTAATTCCTTGCATCTTTGTGGTATTATCACCTTGCATTATCACGATTTTATTTTTATTTGATAAAGCATTATCAACGATTACTAATGATAGACGCTTCTTTCTTCTTAATTTATCTTGCTTTATTTCCATGAGTCATTTTAAAAGTAGTAATATTGTTTTAATTTTTAATTAGATGAATCATTGACAACGATTATTAATTATTGACGACATTTTCCTTTTAATTTCGAATGTTTTATTTACAAAAGTAATATTCATAGTGATAATATTAATTTGACTATTTCATTAGATTATTAAAATTTATTCATATTTGATTACCATTTTTTCATCTTTATTTCAATTGTTTCATATTTGCTACTACTATTACTTGTTGTGGTAATATTATTAACCATATTATTATTATCTTGAATTTGATTGATTCGTTTTCTACGGTTTATCAACCTTTTGCAGGTTATTTAAAGTCAGAAAATATTTTAAAATTATAACAACTTATTTTTAGATAATAATGATTTAGTGATACAGATCTTACTAATTAACCCATAGCTGGAGAGGGAAGAAGTGGATTCATAGCACTCCCAAGAGTATTTGCGCGTAAGTGAATATAACGAACCCAACTGGAATTGGAACTCGACTCTCTGAGGCATTATTTATTACATTACACGCATATCGAATCTTAAAGTACTCAAACGATCACCCATCTAGGTATTTATCAGGCTTGACATTGCTTAACATCAGTGATCATACAGGAACTGGTCTTCCCACTATAAGTTTTTATTAGATTAAGCATTTTTAACAATTGTTTACTGTTGACAGTTATCTTGTTATCGTAATTTTCTAGCTTTATTTTCACCATTGGTAGATATAATGTTATCTTAAATAGGTAGGAAATATTTTATTTTAATTTTTACAACTATTCTTTTATATTAATTTTATTTGTTTTTTTTTTCATTTGTCAACGTAATATTAATATTCTGAATCATATTCGACGAAACATTGACAAAATTATTGAAATTTGTCAAGAATTTATTTCATTTTAATTCATTTATTTCCTAAGATTATTGTTCAAATAGTCAATCTCTCTTCATAAATAAATAGTGAGTTTTGAAAATAAAAGAAAAAAACTACCCGAGAAAAAAACCCCCAAAAAATCAAACATCCCCCTCCCCCCAAAAAAACTCGCAAGAATGTTGTCTTTGAAAGCCCAGTTAACCGTATCAGCTGCATTACTAAACTACTACAGTCAAATATTCATATATACCTATATATATTATAATTATTTTCTATTTTAAAAGTATGGTTCCATTGCTACACAGGAATTACCATTTTCAAAACAGAAACTAAAATTTTACTTTCTGTTTGGAAACATGATTATTCGTGTGTAGCGATGGAACCATATTTTTAAAATAAAAAGAAATTATATTATGCTCTACTGATTTGTATTGAGGACTGTTTTTTAAAGAATAAAAATAATTACTAAGAAAATCGGATTGTAAAACTTACTGTTCTCTCTTATTGTCTCAATATATATATATATATATATATATATATATATATATATATATATATATATATATATATAACTGTATATATATACATACTTCATCTTCCCATTAATGCTAAATGACATATCTGTTATTTTATTTGACTACACTTGTTATCTTAGCAGTAGTAATATCTACACCCTTTTGCAAATTAATTGAAAAACAAAAGGGATAATTTCGTTATTATTTACTTATTTTCGTTATTTTCACATTGCAACATGACCAAGTGCACGAGCCCTTCGTATATCCATTTCAGGATGTCTTTCCTTACAGATTGACCACAGATTCTCGATTGGATTTAAATTAGGAGAGTTTCTGGGCAAGTATATATTACTTTGATTTGCTCAGTGGTAAGGCTTGGCAGTGTTTTCCTGCAGCGTTACCATTTTCTTACTCCTCCTTAGAGTAACGTCCATCACAGACGATAGCCGAAGGACAACTAATCAACATTCGAGACAATAGTATCTGGGCATGATGAAAATCTGATCCAATTACGGATGACGCAATATTTTTCAAGACCAAACAAATTTTATCATACACCCCGAAAATAGATTCATATTAGTGCACACCACTGCAAATAACATAATCTGAGGAAAAAAATAGAAATCGATTACACCCTGTCACTCCAGTGGATCTAAAAACTGACCGTAGCGGTTGTTTCAATTAATTAGCAAAAGGGTGTAGATGTTTCTGATTATAGGAATCTTTTTTTCAGTTTATTTGTTTTCTACGGTTTATCAACCCATTTCAGGTTATTTAACGCCAAAATATATTTTTAGTTTATAAAAAATGTTTGAAAAGTAATCATTTAGATATATTGACTAATTAATCCAGGACTAGGGGATAAGAGGTGGATTTAAACCTTTCCCAAGGGCATTTGCATGTAAGTGGATAAACGAATCCAACAGGAATTTGAACTCGGTTCTCCGATTAACAATTGTAAGACACTATCCATAACATGACCCGGACTTCTACAATTACAGCACCTGAAATTCTTAAATGGTCACCCATTTAATTACTGACCAGGATCGACGTTGCTTAACTTCGGTGATCGTACGGGAACCGATGTTTCAACGTGATATTACTGTAAGTCTTAGCAGTGCTGCAGTTTGTAATGGACGAGGCTGTGTTTGAGAAATTTCAAAGAAATTGACTTCTGTATTTTCAAGAGAAAAAAAAAATCCCCTCAGGCAATTTTACACATATATCTTTATATAATTAATAACACTGTAAAGGTGGAATATAATTATGTGTACGGGAAGATTGAAAAGAAAAAAAAAACAAAAAACATTTAAACATTTAATTTACGTGTTTGTGTGTATGTGAGTGGGAGGTGCACCCCAGAACACCTGGGAGTAAAGAAATTTTGCCCTGCAATTAACAGGACATTGCTAATAATAATAATAATAATAATAATAATAATAAATGAATAAAGAAATGAGGAGAAGTGTTATTGTTCTCGCGCATTAATAGTTCTCAAAAACGCCACCTAGCGGGTATCATATATTTTTCCGTCATAATTTTCACCTCTTTACAACTTCTATTTAATTGTCAGCTGCTTTTTGTCGCAAATAAACTGACAATCGTCTGTGTAGCATCAGCCGTAAAACTCTCACGGATCAAATATTGAAGAAGCTCTCGAACACAGACGGATACCAAATTGTAATAGCAATGGTGAGATTAACGGCTCTCTTATAGCTAAACATTCGCCATTTATTGATCAAACAGTTGGAGTTACTCTCGGTTGAAATTTATAAAAATTATTCATGAAAATAGACTTGATAAGCCCACTAAAAGTTATAACACTTTTTAATATTGATGGGAGTTTCTTTCCAAATCTTTTGTGAGTCTACAATTTTGTTAGAATGATTGTATCTTTATTTTCTCCTTTAGTTACATATGCTAACCATTTTGTTTCTTACTGCTGTTGGAAGACTTCAAATGATGTCGTTTTAGTACAGCTTATTCATACGATGTTTTTGCGCGCGTTCATAGTTTTCAAGGAATGTTCGTCTTCTTTAAGAATTAATATAGATCGACTTTTATGAGAAGAATTTTGTTATCTTTCTAATGATTGATCTGCAAAAAAACGGTTATATACAAATTAGAATGTCGATGTTCCTGAACGAGCTGAAAGGCATGCATATCATCTATATGAGAATCTAGACGTGACGAGGCAATTTAAGAAACGAGTTTTCGGATCAATATTTTGCATTTGTAGGTTCTTACAGAATTAGACAAATGTACGCAAGCACATAATCCTGCATACAGTTTTTGTATTGACTAAATTAAATTTGTTGTAACTGATACATCCATCGAAGTATTTGAAGCAATCAGTATTTAACAATTACATGTTCTGATTTTTTTTTATAACGGATGCAGTGTAGGATCCTTCATTGCTTTCTTCCAAATTTCAGATGACGATTTCTGGTTATTTCAATGTGGTCTAATTATTAGCAAGCTTGTCTTGTTAGATCAATTATGCTTAAATAGTGAGTTCCAAACATTAAGCCTTGTGCCATATCTAAAGTAATCTAAGAAAATCATTTAAGGCAACTCGACGTAGTGTAATGGTTAGAAAGCTTGTCTCACTTGAGCAATTACGACAGACTAGTGTATTCGATCCTCATTGGGTACCCCATACTGTCGCATTGTGCTCCATCTAATCACCATTATTTTCTGTTCTGATAAGATTTCTCTTGAGCCCTAATTCTTGGAAACTTTTTAGAGGATGTTGTTTTTTCTCTTCATGATCATTCTGTTCCCAAATACGAAAACCTATGTCTTTCTCATAACCCTTTTCAGTACTTTGGTTTCTAGAGGGAAAACAAAAGCGATGTTTCCTATTCGTAGAATCTTATGCGATATAGCACGGAATATTTCAATATTCTACGCCCATTTCTTCGCGTCAGTGCTTATGCAAGCGCAAAGAATAGTCTAAGAACAGACTGGAACTCTCATTCCCTTCTAGTCGTACTTTCGACGATATTTGGCTTGTGTCGAATTTAAGGTCTTCAACAGATGCATATGAGTTTGTTTTTCAATATTATTACTCTCTGTGATTGAATCAGAGAGTAGATAATGGTTTCTCATGCGCGAGAAGATCTGATTGGTGTGATCTTATATTTCTTTGAGGTCAGGATAGAAGGGGAGAGAGTTGAGGTCACACTAAGAACTTATTCTTTATTTCTGCTCCTCATTGATTACTGAAATAGGTCGACAGTCAGTAAATTCTGCGATGAAGAGCGAAGAAGAATAAGTTGATGAAAATAAGAAAAATAACTCAGAACCTTTAGCAAAACATAGCTGTATTCATGCATAATATTTTCTTTGTTCCTATCTGTAAGTGTCTGTATTGAAAACGTCAGCACTTTGGGAAATTAAAAGCCGGGTCGATTTTAAAGTAAAAGAAATTTTATTGTGTCTTTGAAGAATCAAATTTTCCTTGAAATTGTTTTATCAAATTAATTTGTTTTTTTTCTCTCTCACTTTAGCAGACAATAGACACGTTAATACAATAAGTGAGTTTCTATTTCCTCTGAAATGGTTGGAATAGTATCACGAAAGATTGACCAAGCAAAACACATTAAAGACATGATTTTACTTTATCAAGTAGTACTCTTCAATTTAAATAGACTTTATGAAGAAGGCTTCAGAATTTGAATCCAGATGTAAGTGGACATTTTTGCTAAAACGAATATTCCATTTTTAGAACTTTTTCATGTTTTTCAAAATCAGATATCGATTGATTTTTAGCGTTATATTTTCCACCATAAAATATATTATTTGCATCTATTTCTCTAATAACATATATTTTTTTTAAAATTCTTAATGTTATTTATGGCTTGATAGTTATTTACATTATAGACTTGTTTATCACTTACTTTACAAACTTATTCACTACTAAATACAATTAAAATAAATACATAGAAACAAATAATCTTTATATGAAAATAAAATAAAAATTCAATAACACATTTTTCTTAATTAGAAAATGTCTTACTCCATTTATAGTTCTCCATAGTTTAACTTTCCCTACGCAGTAAGCATTAAAAATATTTTAAAGCTTTCTCAGATTCAAAAACAATATTTTCCTACACATAAAATACAAGTTACGAAACAAAATGTCTAAATTTACCTTCATAAATTTCCTTAATTCCGGCCTTAATATTCGAGAAATCTTGTCAGAAAATATACATCCTCCGGCAGGATTCGAACCTGCATCACCTCATTATCCTGACGTGCTTAACCGTTCGATCACATAGGACTACCGGTTGAACGAATCCGGGGAAATGTAATTAAATAAAAATAATGTTTAATTAAATAAACAGAGCATCTACACGAATATGAGTATCCATCTCAAATGACCTTAAATCCTTTTCATAATATATATATATATATATATATATATATATATATATATATATATATATATATATATATATATATATATATATATATATATATATATATATATATATATATATATATATAAAATAAAAAAGGCGTAAACACTAATATTTCATGGTCATAATTTATTCCATTCGAATCGTAAATACGATCCAATTCATCAGACCTGCAAATTCAAAAAGAAAACAGAAAAACAACTCCGGAAATAAAAAATAAAATTTAGAGAGAGTGTAAGTATGAGAGTGTGGGACGAATGTTAGAGCTAAAGAGAGGGGTAACAGGGGCGGGGGAAACTAAAACTGAAGAGCATTTATTAAAAGGGCCGCTGTGTAATTAAGAAAATTTGACAAAATTAATATTGACTACAGGTTACAAATCAAATATAAACATATAAAAAAATAAATATAACGATTATCTAATCTAGCAAGGACCTAAATTTTTATGTTCAAAAACACATGCGTATACACACATACACAATAACATATACAAGTACATATATACATATAGGCGTATACACACATACACACACATATACCCATGTACACACACACACACACACACACACACACATATATATATATATATATATATATATATATATATATATATATATATATATATATATTATACATATATACACATACATAACGTATTTTTTAAAAATCACATACTTTACATAGATAAAGCTCTTCGTAAGGTGTGGGCTCTACTCGTGAGAACATTTTTTTGTATTTCTGTAACACATGGACTTCCAGGAATCCCTTCAACGAGTCTACTGGAATCTTTTCCAAACAATCTGAGGGCTCCAATTACAACGGAGATTGTTGATGTTCTCATGTGCCACATTTTTGAGATTTCGATTTCAAGGTGCTTGTATATTTCATAGTTTTTTTGTTTTTTTTAGTATATTCAAAGATACATTACAATCTCCAGGTACTGCCATGTGAATAAGAAGGCATATTCTGTTTTTGCAATCTCTGATCACGATGTCTGGACGATTAGCTTAATCTCTCTCTGTGTATCGTAAAGTTTCATAAAATTCTTACAAGACCTATGTCTGTAACCGGCCCTGGGTAGTGTTCATACCAATTTCTCGCAGTTTCCTTTCCGTAAAAGTTGCTTATTTTCCACTGCAGATATTGGCCTACACTGTCATGCCAGGTTTTATATTTAGTTGGTGCCAATCCCGTGCAACATGATACAAGATGGTCAACTGTTTCTATATATTATTATTATTATTTTTATTATTATTATTATTATTTTATTTCTATTGATTTCTGGTGTGTACACATTTCTTTCCGGGCCCTTTATGGGTAAAAAATGGTATCATGACATTTTCCACTGACCAATTAAAAAAAAACACACACAGAAAAAACATTTTACGTAGATAAAGCCGTTCATAAGGTGTGGGCTGTACACGTTTTTATTACAAAATTTTTAGAACAAATTATTATTGTTGTTGTTGTTGTTGCTATTGTTGTTGTTATAGTTGATGTTGTTGTTATTATTATTATTAAGAAGACGGGAGTAAGTAGTTGCGCCCTTCTAGCCAAGGACAGACATTAGCAGTTTAACGCCTGTATACATTAAAGAAAAAGACGTTGTGGAGATCCTGATAAAAGAGAGAAAAGATCTGAAACGTGTCAACAGTTTACAATATTTTATGTTATTTTTTCTTTTTTTAGAACTATTTGTTTCCCTTGTCAATTCCTTTACGCTGAATATTAGAATATCTCAGACATAGACAATGCTGAACATAAAAGACGAGCTTCCCAGTTGTACGTCTCATAAATTTCGAACAGACACCGCAGCCAATTTTGCACAGAATCTTTTTGTCTATGCGCTCATACAGAGAATTGACTACAAACCACTTGCTTTAATGGCGATTATTTCAAACAAGCACAATTTGGCAAGCTGCAAACGCCATAAAATACACTCCTTGCCTTATTTACAGGCTTTGGACGTTTAATGTCCTGCGGCAGAGGGAATTTAACGAATCCCTATTGGTAAGCATCTTTGGCACAGAAGGTGAGAAGACGGACGAAACCAAGACGTTCACACATTTTAATTTCAGCGAAAATATAAATCTCTCTATCTACCCCAATTTTTCAGCATTGTATTCAATTCATATGGGAAATAATCAACATCAGTTTTAAGTATAATCTACTGTTCTTATTTGATAATAGAAATCTAATCTCAGGCCATAAATTAAGTGGCAGAGGAGGAGATACAAATGGCAAAACTAGGTCATAATTGTTCTGCTGTGAACAATAATTTTACTTCTAACTTTATGCGAATTTAATGATTTCCAAGAAATTTGTTCATAACTTAGTTTTAGATACTTAGCTCTATAACGTAAACAAATATATATATATATATATATATATATATATATATATATATATATATATGTGTGTGTGTGTGTGTGTGTGTGTGTGTGTGTGTATGGACTCTCCCGTCGGTTTCGACGTATGAGGATCTGACAGCTTAGTTGATTCAGTTCTGAAATTTTGTGCGATAATCTTAAGTAGCATTTAAGTGATTTACAAAGGAAGCCACATATTGAGGATTGTGGGATGAGATCACTTTTAGATTGGCTGACCTTTTAGTTCATGCTCTCGCTTCTTGAAGATGATTCAGACAAGGAGATTGAAGACTGCTGAGTCTACTTAAACACGTAGATCTCCATTCTACCCGCTCCCAGGCTAAGTGCTCAAGGGTGTTATTTAGTATATTGACACCTGACAAGTTGCTTTTCAGCTTGTCTTTGTATCTTAGCCATGGGCGTCCGTCATTCCTGAAGCCCTGATTTAACTGGCTCTACATTAGGATCTTGTATATCCTGTGATCAGACATTCTCAAGACATGACCAGTTCACCATAACTGAGACTGTATGAGAGAAGTCTCGATTCCTCCATTATTACACTTGTTAAACAGGTCTACGTTAGATGTCCTAACTCCTCAGATTGCACGCAGACATAATATATATATATATATATATATATATATATATATATATAGAGAGAGAGAGAGAGAGAGAGAGGGAGAGAGATAATGGGATAAGAACGAATGGAGTATAATTTCTCTTTCTGTAACATTTAATTATTAAAGGTTTTTCAATACAAATACAATATTACTTATTATATGAAATTAAAACAAAAACATGTTAAAAGTCTCTACACATGAGCTTTCATGTTTCATAGCTCAAAATGTGCTTCCTCGGGCTATATAAACAACTGGTAATACTCACCAGTTGTTTACTATCGCCTTGGCCAGTTGAGCCAGAGACTAACTAGTAACATCAAAGATTATGGCAGCATTAAACAGGAAGACAGTCCAGAAGAATTGCATGAGATCCCGAAGTCGTCTGGAGCCAATGTTTATTTTATTGAATAAATTTAGTATTTCAAAATATTTTATGTAATTTTGGTAAATATATCTGTTAAAATCAGATATCAGTGTTTCTTTTCATTTTTGCTTAATTTAGACGACGATTCATCCATAGCACCCTATGTGTAAATGAATGTAAGGACTCTGATTGGAATTCGAACCTAGCAGACCCTTTCTCATTCAGAGCCACCAACTCATTCATGTAGAAAATGTTTATATGGAGAAAAATTTATTTATAAATTTTAAAATGAAGTATTGCTGCGATAACTGGGCAGGATGTGCTCACTTCTCCATGTCCAGCTTTGGTAGGGTTCAGAGTGTTTCACGAAATCTTCTAAGTGATTCACTGATTTTTCTTTCTGTAGCATCTTTCTTACAGGCGCAAATCTATCACTATCGCGATTTAGTCGACCAGTTAAGACATTTTCGGATAAGAACTACAATGCCAGGAATCGATTCTCCCCCGTTTCCTCCATATTCCAATTGTAATGATAAAATTTCATATAGACAGAGTTTTCTCACGAAATAACCATTTTTAGAATAGTCGCCTACGGTGATGGTTCTACTGTACAAATTTGATACCACCTATGTTATGGTAATTTACCCAAGCACGCATGGACTCTATAAATAGGAGCAGGTACTGACTTCTGGAGGGGGAAGTTTTCCAGTAGTCAGCTCTGACAGTCAGACAGAACATTCTCGCTGTAACACGCTCGTTTATATATGTTTGATATTACTGATTATGTTATTATATATTCGTTTAACACAATTCCTCTCTTTGTGTCTATATTTCTGGCCCTAAAAAGGCCATAACAACTTATTACTTTGATATAACACACCTCGTTCAATAATCCTCGACCATGAGGCTTATGGCCGTATCAAGCAGAAACACTAGTTCCCATACAATGACCAAAGTTAAGCAACGTCGAGGCTGTTCAGTATTTGGATGGGTGACAGCTTGGGAATAACAGGTGCTGTAAACTTTGATGTGCGGGTGGTGTAATGAATATTGTTTTGAAATTTTTAATCGGAGAGCCAAGTTCCAGTTCCATTTGGGTTTGTTATATACCCATACGCGCACCTCTTCCCCCCACCTAGCTATTTGTTAAGAAGTCAGACTTCTATCATTAAATAATTATTATCTCCAAAAATCTATTACAATCTAAAATATTATCTGGCTTTAAATAACATGAAAAGGGTTGATAAACTATAGAAAACGAATCAAGCAATCCTCTACAAATGCTCTACCTTGAGTTGCTTTCGAGCTTTATTTTGGGTGAACTTATTTTTATACTGTCATGGTTCCTTACCTATAACTACAGAATGAACTCTTCGTAACACTATGTATACTACGCCTCTCAAGAGAGAGGGTCGGATCAAGCCGAACTTATCGGCTTGACGGTCGAACTCTCTGCCTCTGAGCAGAGAGGAACCCGGACGAGGCTCCGCCGAAGGGCAGAGTCTCGTTCGGGGTGGTTGACCAACCCAATCCCGTTTATACGGGTTCTACGCGCATTTTTTGGCCGAGTCTACGAACTCTGGAAACGGGCTCGGATAACCCACGTAAAATTCAGCCTTGTGCCACATATTTCCATCGTGGGGGGGGGGAAGTAAATATTGAATCGAGTCGAGCCGATAGTAGTTCACTCCAAACCAGACTGACAGTCATACTAACACCTTCCACATCGTGTATTATTATTTCGTGTAAGAAACCTTCGTTATTTCTACTCTTGTGTTCGTGTTGTTCTTCCTTGGTCCTAACCTGGGCCATAACATATACCTACTCATGACAATCTATATAAATCAATGTGAATAAATCTTATGACTGAATACTGATGATCAACGTGTCTAACTCGTTAACCATTACAGCTAACCTCGATAAATACATTGAGATATAGTTTATTGACATAAGTCAAGTTGATATATTTTACTGACATAGATACAAGCACAGATCTTTAGATATTTAAACGTGTTTGTGGGCTTAAAATTTAGACATTGAATAATATATACAATTACATCTTGTAAGTATTTAATGACTGAAGCATGCGTATATTACATGAGTGTGTATATCTATATAGTATAATTAATTTACGAATTTACGACCTGTGCCTGCTATTCGTTATCGTCGCATAGCAAACTTCTATGCAAACATAATGGGGATGTAATCTTTGATGGTGAACATAACGGTTGTAATGTCCATATAACCACTCAGAGAAAGGTTCATGTGAACCGAAAGCTTAGATCAAGGAACTGCATAATAAAAAATATCCAAATGTTGAGCCTTTATTTTAGTCTCCCGAAATTAAAGCCACTAGACGAAGCTTACTGTGGTGTCCTCCCTCTAATGAGTCTATTGTGAACTCTTCCACATATTTTAAAATTAGTAGGAAAGTAAACCTCGGGGGAACAGTAGTATAGATTATTCTACCGAAGCTGTGTCAGTTCGCAGATGCTGTCGAACATTCCACCTTTTGGCGGAGTGACCCGTCCGAGGCTGTGCCGAAAGGGCAGAGTTTCGTCCGAGAAGGTAGACAGAACCGAACCCGTTTATGTGGGTCCTACGGCGATTTTTTCGGCCTTATGCCACATCTTCTTCCGTAGGGGGGTACTAAATATCAACAGAACGCTGGTCAACTGACACACACTCCCAAGTCGTGTAACACTCTTCTGCTGTATTTACTGTTCAGTACACGATTTATCTCCAACCTCTTGTTTCGTTATTTCTTAACCATTTACTTGGCTCATGATCAAACATAATAGATATTCGTTGTGTGTTATATTATCTTTGAATAGTATAAGGTATGTTCAATAAAAATGCGTGTATAGGAGTAGCTTTCAACGCATTCCTGTAAATAGAATTAAAAGCCAACTTACGTAAATATAGGCATTCTTCGCTGACAGGGTCATTCCAAAGGTTTGTGGAAAACTTATTTTATAAAAAAACTAGACAAACATTTTTAATGTGTGTTTAAAGCAAAGTCAACCTGGACTGACGTGTTATAAACTACATGAACCGAGGTAATAAATTGAAGTTTACGCCAATTTAAATACCGCTCTCTTTATAGCTGCATGACGTTTCTCAGAATTGAACAAAGAACTAACATCAAATTTATGATAAAACATGGCTGGAAGTCTGAGGACAACATCGATGATTTGGGAAAAGAAATTATGGAGATAATTTACCGAAAAATCAGCAGTTTACAAGGAAACAATTTGTTTCGTTTCAAAGGAGGACGAGACGGAATTGACTAAAGCGAACGGATCGGCAGGGCATCAGTTTTTGTAGAAACAATCGATGTTATTCGACACATAATTTACGGCGTTCCAGGAGTGAAAACATTAAAAAAAAAAAAAAAAAAGAATTAAAAGACAATAGATAAAGATTGTCATGCCGTTTCAATTTTTGAAGACCAAAGTTAACCGGGAACCAAGAATCCGGAAAACTGTTCCCCAGGCGAGAAGTGCGATTGCAGAAAGTGTTAGGATAGTACTTACGGTTATATATAGCGCTTTCAAATGTAAAATGTTGAGACCTTTCCGCCAATCTAGTACGGCACTACATAAAGCAATCGTTATCTACTGTTTTCTGGATGAAACTTTTTATTTTTCACTTGATCCTTTATAATGGTTCTCTTATTTTTTCACACCTTTTGAGTTTTAGTCGCTTTACTGTTTTTTTGCGTGAGGGGATTAACAAATATATTATCTCTGTGTTTGTTTATATATATATATATATATATATATATATATATATATATATATATATATATATATAGCACAGATCCGGGTTCGAATCTCACCATGGTTGATTTGTCAGGAAGTAAGCTTCCTGATGTTATTTGTCTGGAAGGAAAAATCCAGCGTGCGGCACTTTTGGAAAGTGCCTGAAAAACAATAGTCTAGGGTTGACCCAAGCCCTGTGAGTGAAAATGGTTAGACGGTACCCTTTCGAAGCTGTGCTAGCACGAAGTTAGAAGTCATCGTGACCGAGGGTTTAAGTGTGATGTCCTTGTTCAGATTGTTGATCACGTTAGAGAACACGCTTCTCTACCTGAAACTGCAAGTTCTGCTCAACTTAGTTGCTGTATAAACCACAGGTTGGTTCTGTGGGTGTTGAACAAACACAAATGTGCCTGAGCGAGCGTCTGCAATAGGGATTGGCTCTCCGCCCTAATAGACGGTCATCCTTGAATACGAATTGCCAGCTATTATATATATATATATATATATATATATATATATATATATATATATATATATATTAATTAAAAACTAGAAATGTAGTATTGTAGGCCATGATAAGTTTAAAATAAAAACACAACAGTCGACCGGTTTCGTCCCTCTCGTCAGAACTGTTAACGGAGAATTTAGATTATGAGGAAAAAAAAAGTCTGTCATGGGTGACATGAATGAATGGACAGGGAAGGAAAAAAAAAAAAATATATATATATATAAAATTATACCAACCAAGCTGCTAGAATCGCATCACAGCAAGTCCAAGCAAACAATCTCTCTGTTTGCAAGGAGAAGGCTGCCTAGACCTGATGCAAAGCGACTCCAGCACATTAAGATGGAAAAGTGAGTGCGAACTGGCCAAGACGGAAAACCAGTCCACACTGAAATCCATCGCACAAGTTGGATTCATTATAAAATGATCCGCAATGGAAGACCCATACGTGTTACGAATGGTATCGCCCAAAGAAAATTTTTTGTTTAGTATTATCGCAGGTACGTGTTGTTTAATTCTCACGTCCAACCGCTGTGTCGTTCTACCTATGTAGTCGCATCCACAACTACATTTGAAATAGTAAATAACAGAGTTAATATGGTGGGGGGGTAGAACATCTTTACACATAGATGAAAGTATGGACTTAGTTTGAAAGACAACACGAACGTTCGCTGCAAAATAACACTCACGTGAACTACATGAAATACGCTTAGCGAAGGATTCACTAATCTTACCCAACCACGGTAAACGAAGATAGACCGGACATTTACCTACTGAAGCAGGTTTGATTTTGTTGAACCTGGCGGTCTCATCTCGAATAACCGATTGAACAATGTTCAACGGATAGCCATTGTTCACAAAGATCTCAGTTAAACAACTGATTTCATGTTTCAAGGTGTCATCCGAACAGATCATTAATGCCCTATGTGTCAGGGTCCTAATCAAATTAATCTTTTGTTGTTTAGGACAAAAGGAGTCCCAACGGGTATATAGTCCTGTAAAAGTAGACTTCCTGTACACAGAGGTAATAAACAAGGAAGGAGTTCTTTGAACAAGAACATCTAAAAAGGGCAATGAACCATTGACCTCCTTATCTACTGTAAATTTAATGGCAGGATGAACACCATTGAGTAGGGAAAAAATTGATCCACTTCCGATTCATGGCTGAACACACAGAAAGTGTCATCAACATACCGAAAGTATACCTTGGGTCTGGCAGAACTTAAAAGGCTTTCTTCATAAAACCCCACAAAAATATTTGCCAACACAGGACCCAAAGGGAACCCATCGCTACCCCGTCAATCTGACGATACATAATATTGTCGAAACTAAAAATCGACAAACATAGTGGCAAATTTCATGAGTTCAACGAACACTTCTTCAGGTATATTCGGAGGAGTCAAATCGCTACGATATAACATATCGCTACAAATATCAATCGTCTCCGATAAAGGAACACAAGTGAAGAGGCTACAGATGTCAAAGGAACACATAAATCCGTTAGTGGCATCACAATTCCGAATGAATTTGGAAAAAGAAAATGAATCTTTAATACAAAGGAACTGTAATGTTGCAATACTGGTTGCAACATTATAGCAAGCCACTTTGCGACTTTATGCTGTGAAGACCCAATCATCGATAATATGGGTCTCAACGGGACACCCTCCTTATGAATCTTAGGTAATCCATATAGACGGGGACGAATAGAACCAGACGGTCTCAATTCCTCCGCCATTTTAGAAGAAAGAACAC